TTATATTTGGAAATTTTTATATTTACAAATTTATTACATTTAGAAATTGCTAATTTAAAAATATGACTTGCAAATTAGTAATTTATAAAAAAATAAATTTCAAAGTTTAAAGTTCACCATGTAATTCACGATTGCATTCGAAATTTATCTCTTTTTATTATCCGACGTTTCTTCACTGCATTTTTTTTTTACACGCGACGTAGTAGAAAAATTAACCAAGCGTCTGTAAATATTTACGCTGAATATTGTTCGTCACACAGTTGGTAATGTCAGGTGTCGCGGCGTTGATTGTGGATCGAGCCGGAAGGAAGCCACTGCTCATGCTTTCCACCAGCGTTATGTCAGCCAGCCTGATCGCGCTCGGATACTACTTCAAGCAGAAAGACTCCGGAAGTGACGTCAGCTCACTAGGCTGGTTACCGTTGGTTTCCTTGATCGTCTTTATGGTCGCCTTCTCAATCGGGTATGCACAAAATCAACAACTACGAACACGAAAACAACATCCTTTAGAAAAAAGCAAGAAAAAATATGGTCACTCTTTTCTTCCTCTCGATGAATTCCAAATATCATTCTTCAAAAAAAAAAAAAAAAAGAAGAAATTATACCGATATGGTCATCATTTTTCTCCGAAAGACAAGAAAATGAATTCCAAATTATTTCCAAATATTTCGAAAACCATTTTCGAAGATTCACAGGTAGAATTAAAAATGAAAAACTAAACATTGTCCCACGTTAACTACCATCGACTGAGTAATCTCTCTTATCACAGTCTGGGACCAGTGCCATGGATGTTGATGGGCGAGCTATTCTCCTCAGAGACAAAGGCGGTAGCATCCAGTTACGCCGTAATGCTAAATTGGTTCATGGTATTCGTCGTAACTAAAACCTTCCCCACGATGAACAGCGAGCTAGGCATCGACATGACATTCTGGATCTTCGCCGTGATCATGGCCGGCGCTACAGCGTACACCCACGTTCTGGTACCGGAAACCAAAGGAAAGACCTATCAACAAATCCTCAGAGAACTCCAAGGCGAGACCATAGACTTGCCCGTCAAATCCGCCGCTTAGAAAATCATCGAAAAGCTTCAATCTCGCGAGAATATTCTATACACATCCCTCTAAGGTGTTCCTCCTTCGAGCATCGACCAAAGGAAACCTCGTTGCCGTAATCCTATCGTTGATCCTTTCTTTCATCGACCGGCTCACGACCGTGGCCCACGTTCTCATCGATGGAAACATCTCATCTCCTGCCACCGAATCAATTAATTTAATTATTTCCTATCGATCGATCGGTCACGCGATACTTGCC